TCCAGAAAAAAATTGCCTCATTCCTCCATCAATTACCGAATAATTACAGATCAACATCTTATGGTAATTCCAGGAATAAATTTAATCCAGTGAATTTCCTACAGAATTTTTCAGTAAAGACGTGTCAATCGAAATGCCGAGTACAATTGAATGATAATAGATCGATTTTCCGAAGTCATTGATTCCAGGATGTGATAATTCGTCGGTTTGCTGAATCATCGAACACATCCGTCTCAATTTATGGACGTTATCATAAATTTATCCTCGTCCCCAGGAATAAATTCCCACCGGTGGATCAATCGTACCTCATAATACTCTCATTGTCGATGAGAAATTTGTCTTTGAGACCGTTCGATATCACTCCATATCTATTCCGGGTGTGGCTCAATACCTAGATGCGCATGAGTTTCTCAACATCAGGAAATAACAATTCCCCCCTGAATTCCAGATTCATGGAATTCATTGGAAGAACATGAATGAGACAATGATAACCCGCAGAACATTCCGAGGTGTAAATCGATTCCAGGAAGCCCCTGGAAATTCCAGAGCATCTCCAAGATCTCCCAACTCAATTAACTTATCCGTAAATTAATTCCCTGAAGATGTTGCTCATGAGATTAATATTTTTTAAACAAATCGCAGGTCCCAGGTGGAGGGAAAAATTGGAAAAAATGGAAAAAAATCGAGAAAAATTGGAAAAATTGGAATTGGAGTGTAAAATAAAATGCTGCAGTCCAGAGATAATATTTTCTTACCCCTGTGCTGAAATAGAATTGGGAATTCCATCGAGGCTTTCTCTGCTGACTTCATCAGCCATGGCAACCTTCAGCTGATGCCCAAAACTGGCTAGATCCTCTCGGAATGCTTCACTACCTGGTGTAATAGCTCCACTAGTTGGTGGTAATGGTGTTGCATTGCTACCATCACCATCTTCACCTTCTTCATCGCCATCTTTCTCCACGAGGGCTTCCTCCTCTTCGTTGTAAATTTTGAAGTAGGCAACCGTGAGGTATATCACCGAAATAATAAACGATGGAATCGGTATCGCCATTGCGTACACGAGGTTCATGTAGACCTACATTTACGTCCAATTAAACAATTAATTCGTTCATTTAATTAATTATCTGTCGTAACAACTGCCTAGTTTTTATTCATCCATAATATTCTCAGCCATTTTATTTTTTACATGTAGGTCAACATTGCAGGTGAAAAATGCAGCCAGAGAAAAAAGCCTTTTCATTCAGACTGTTAATTTTTTTTTTTTTTCCTAATACGTTTCTTCAATTTTCTTTTTATGGGAATTTTTTTCCATTCCTGGTACGGAAAAGGAGTTATTCTGCATGGAGTGAGATTGCTTTGATCTTCATGCGAAGAAAAAAAAAATGGTAAAACTGTCGGTGAAAAGTTTTTTCTCGAATAATAGCACAGCGGCGCTTCCGGGCATTGAACGCGAGGCAAAAAAAAAAAATTCACTCCAGTACAATTGTCTGGAACTCGTTCTGAGTTTTCCCCTCTTTTCTTTTATTTTTTTTTCTCCGCGTATGGGTGATATACCAATGACTATTCAGAGCTGTTTACGTACTGCGTACATCGCAATTGAATATCTATTTCTTCTGTCAGTATTTTCTATTATTCTCAGCTACAACAGGACTGATGTCTCCCATTCTCCCAAGATATTGATTCCCAATTAACGCAATCCTTTCACAATTTAATTACTGTATATTTAATATTTAATTTGATAATAATTCAATTTAAAAAAATTGTTAAATCCCAACTTGATCTGGTAAGTCAATAAAATAAAATAGTTAATGAAAAAAAAAATCATAAAAATCAAGAGTCAGACCTGCCACATGTCCAGATCACTGATGACAATTCCTGGATCGACCCTGGAGTAGTAGCAACTAAAATTATGCCCAATATTCGAGTACTGCCTGTAGAAAATACTGCAGTTGAGAATGGGTGGATATCCACACCCTTTGATATTGGGGAACAGCTTAGCACCAGTGAAATACCACTCGGAGTCATTCCCCATGAGACCTGTCACCGATTAATTCATAACAGGTTTTATTCACCCTTCACAGGTTTGCCAGTGAATTTGAGTACCTGTTGGAAGTGGTTTTGGCAGGCTGGGATCATCGTCATCATCGAATTCATCAAGCTCCTCGATGTAATTGTAATCCCTCGGTGAACGCTGATATCTCATCTTCAAACGGGCCTCGTCACCCTCGACACCTCCTCCCGCCCTGCCCTCATCTCCACCAATCCTCTCTTCGTCAGTTACATTAACAGGTAACTTGTAATTAACGCGGATTTGCGTACAGTCATACAGTTCCTTGGTACAACCCTCTCTACACGAGGTCCATGAGCAATTGCTCGCACCTTTAATTCACCAGGTGAGGGTCAATATATTGAAGAGCAACAACATGCGTCACAAATATTTGATATCAAGGATGACGAGACAAATTAACATTTTATAACTCATTAACATTTTATTATTCTATAAAATTATTATCAGGTGGGATTGATTTAATTGGAGGGAGAATTCATGTAATTGTAACGCATCCTTAATATCTTCTTATTTATCATATGATATGGACAACACAGAATAGTGGAGAGATAAGGGAATCCAGGAAATCTTGATAAGTATTTTATAAAGGAAAGTGGTGAACGAGATCGATGGAAATAAATGACCGGGGAATAATGCTCGAGTCTTGGAGCACGTGGAGAGATTAAGTGGACTGATACTTTCGATAATCCTCGATATTTATTGGTATATACTTATTGATAGGGGAGAATGGAAAGATGAGAAGAGAAATTATTACTGGAGAACTCGATGTGAATGACTGGAAATAATATAGAATAATTGGGCAGCAGTCGAGAGGAGAAATATCAAAAGGAAATAATTTATCAGGAAAATCGTTTTTCACGTGATTGATGATCGCATCCCTGACTTTATTAGAAAGAATTCCGGAAATTCCAGAGAATGAATTCCGTAGAAATAGTGGGGAATCATCCCTGAGGATTGTCAGGAAAATTTCTGACCCGAGGTGGCAGTAAATTTTTCACGAGGAAAACACGTGTCCAGAATGGCTCCGAGCTGCAGTAATATTTTGTCTCGGTATGAGTACGAGCATTCGTTCTCTTAAACTTTACCGAGAGAATAAATCACGAGTGATGAGAAATAGTGAAGTCTGTGAGAGAGAAAATTTTCCATTCATTCTCAAAGAGGAAGCTTTTAAAAAGCTCTCGTAAATTTCGAGATGATGAAATTATTTGTCTGGAGATTTGAGTTGATGAGAGAATATTATCTCGGGATTAATCTTTTGTCCTGGGGGAAGTACTTTTTTTTTAATAAATAAACCTCTTCTTTTCTGATTCGTTGATAAATCTGTCATTCACCTCTTCTTGATTCGACGTCAATGGTGACGCATTCCGCAGGTCTTTCGTCAAAATCCATGGAAATTGTTGTGAATGCGGGATCGATAACGAAGGGGACCAAGAAGAGGAAGGCGAAGAGGCTGAAGGTGCCAAGGAGGATGAAGAACGCGGTTGTGTAAAACAGCATTTTCTCGGCGAATGTCTCTTCCTTTTCTTCCGCCATGTTGCTGAAGAGGGGCAGTGATGGTTATGCTGGAGATATTAGAAGTCAGTTTGGGTTTTTTATTTTTTTTTCTCCTGAGTGCTCCTTCCAGTAATCAAATCGTAAATCTGTGGAATTAATTATTTCACATTTTTTTCGCATTCGTACGCGTGGAAAATGGAAATTTATCAATTATCGAATTATAAAAGTAACTTCTCCATTTTTTTTTCTTCCGGAATTTTAATAAAAAAAATACTATTTTCACGTAATTCTGCGTTCGTTGTACCCGACAACACTCCGGCCTCTGCCAGAGATTTTAATCAGCTAGTGCATGTGCTGCACCCCGAATAATTGCACGCAATTGACCAAAAGTTTTATGAATACTAAATTCCCCGAACTCCGACAATTGCCTCCCCTTAATTACGAGAATAAAAAATGTGTCAATGGTTCTCTTAAATCCCAAAAATATTCCATAAATCAGAATATCTCAATTAATTAAAAAACAAATAAAAAAAGATCTGAGAAAATGCTGAAGTTTCCAATTATCATTGTTTTTAAAATACTCATCAAATATCTAGAGATAATCCTGAGATTAATTCGTTAAAAAAGATAACCAGAAAGCCACGAATAAATTGACAACTCAACTTAACCCACTGACACACATTCACAGAGAGTTTTCCCCCCACTCAAAAAATAAGTATTCAATTACGTAAATACATGAGAGATACCCCTATAACAATGAGCAACAATTGGGCAGAGTTGCCCTCTTCTTGTGCCCCCGCATCGTTCCCTCGAACAGTCTCTTGGCCTCAGAACCCTCAGGCCCTCCACTATCTCCTAATCTTCACCAAACACATCACCAAACCCCAGAGCTAATGAAAAAAAATAAATAAATAAATAAAAATGATCACACGATTTCCAAATCCAAATGAATCAGACGTGATTACGTCATGATCACCAACAAATGCACGTCTGACTCGAATAATTGACGGATTATTATCACTGGATGTCAATATTTGGCTATCATGATCTCCAAGATCTCCACATTTTTTTTTTTTATTGGAATTGTCACATTTTTGTCGATTTTGGATTTCGGATTTTGGTTGGGGGTTGTTTCTGGCGCAGGGTTCGGGGGAATCGATGATTGGGGATGATTTTTCTCGGGACAACCGGTCGCGAGATTTTTTTTTTCAGATCGATTGGTAAAAGCTCTAGCTGCGGCGGCATATGCCGGGCTACTGCAGTCCAAGTTGAGCTTTTGGACGAGCTTATTTTTCAGTATTCGATACCAGCGCCACAACGGCGTGTCATGGCATCGACCGCCACTTCCAGGAGCGAAGAAATATCAAAAAATATTTTTCAAAAATATTTACATCCGACTGTATTAAAAAAACTACACAATTGCCACGGAATTCTAAAAAAAAATCCACAGGAAAATTATCATGACTCTTAATCAATCCAAATAAATAATTCAATTTAAAATTCATTTAACAAGTTTTAACTGCAGTTTAATTATTTTATTGTCTGACCAACGCGAGATTTTCTACTGGAAAATTCGCTGGATTAATTGACATTGCGAATGGATCGATTCCATGTACAGTGGTTTGATATATTATGTCATAATCATGATACAATTATGACTGCTCCTTTTTTTGGGGATATCACGAGTATTTGTCCTGTCATTGCTGTCAATGGAGCTATTATCCTATTATGTCATCAATTTGGGGGTATGAAAGGGGAAGAATAAGAGCACTTGACTTTGAATTTTTATGAGAACCTCTGGAGATTTCGAGTGGTTCGTTATAACATTGTCATGCCACAAAAGCTTCATGTATGGATTTGCCGTTGTCAGTCCTCCCATTCTTCTCGTCACTTGACGGTCTCGCAGAAACAATACATTTTCCACTCGAAGATCATCCCCACACAAAAAATAACCGCCAAATAATCTAAAATCTAATTTTTAATTCTATCAACTAATTGAATTATGAATTAATTAATGCAGTGAGGGAATTCGCGAAGCCAGTGAATCTGTTCTTTTTTTTTGTTTTTTTTTTTTTTGAGAGAATAAATGGGATGGAAAATAGATTCTTGGCAGTTCTCGTCGTGTTTGTTTGTCGGAATTGATTCTGCTCCACTTTAGGGCTGACAACAGTGATGGGAACGACAAAAGAGATGTGAGAAGATGGAAATGGTTGACCTTAGGAATTTCACAGGATCTGAAAGATCGGAAGTACCAGAGGCTATTGGCACCGCGCCATGTGCAAAAAAATATCGGCCAAATGTCCATTTTTTATCCCAGTCTTATCCATTTCACGTGTTATCCCTCTGCATGCCAATGACACTGATTTGTTTTTTTTTACCGACTCTGAGAAATTTCAACTAATTTTTTTCCTTCTTTTTTTTTTGTGCATTCAAGTTTTCAAGTGAAGTGGAACATGGGTGACCTCTCCATCGACTTTTTAGACTCGCAACTCTGGAACTATCGAGCCACTCACGATTTATTAACGATGCCGGAGGAATGTTAAGTCGATACTTCATTGTTTATGTGAAATTCAATTCTAACCGAATTTTTTTAATGATTAAGTATTTAATCGGAATTCTGGAGCGAAAATGTTGAGAGGAAAATATCGACTCAGCGTGTGTGTGAATTGCCGGGTGATATCTCCGAATCCAAGAGAGATACCGTTTTTTTTATAATAACCTTTTTTACAGGTTACACTTCGCCCAATAAAAAATGTTTAATAAAAATTTTGCTATCTCCTTCAGATTCCGAGATATTCCACGAAATTCACGTGAATAATATCTTGACTGCAGCCTTTCCCCTTTGCACTAATTTCCTCTTGAATTATTGCTAATTACGAAATGAGAAAATTGAAAAATCAAAAATAATTTTCATCTTAAAATAGATTAATAAAAAACGACCGGTGATCGTTTAATTGAAAATAATGAGTTGAAACAAATAAATTGAAAATCGATAAATGAAATTCGCGATATCTTTTTCGTGATTTATCCAAAATGAATAAAATCACTGGAAACTCATTGTTATTGATTTTCCAAGTGCCCTACGGCAACCGTTTGGTGTCTCTGGTGCTGCCCCAGTCTTAGCATGTAAACGTCAGCCATATTTGTTTCCGTCAAGTAAAACCTCGACTCCTAAAAACTACTCATTTACTTCCAATTGCTGGTGGATTACCCCCGTATCCAGCATCACTCGTGTAAGTACCGAAAAATTCAATTTGTCAACATAATTTATTACGATTTATTATTTATCCCCTCTAAAATAACAATCGGAGAATTTTCAAACTGCAGAAACCACGCGGTCTCTCACCAGATCGCTTTAATACCTGCAGTCCCCATGCAGATGTAAACATTGCTTCTTAATTAATCATTATCTTAAATAAAACGTCTTGATCCAATTTATTATTATTTCAACAATCAATAAATCACTCGATTAAAAAATTCTCTCGTTCTTCATTCCGATTTTAATTCCTCTAATAATTTTATTGCTTTCAATAAATATATAATGATTTATCATGCAATGAAATTGTTAGATAATTAATTTACAATTAGTCATTCTGATAAATAAGGGGGAGGGGCAGTGAATTTTTTTTTTTATGCAGATGGAGAATTTTTCGTTTTTTTGAAATTCGCTTTTTGCCGCGTTATGCTTGACTTTTATCACTTGATATTTTTTGTTCCCCTGTTGATGCATCATTCAATTATTATAGTCGGACTGACAGTTTTGTATTGTATCCGAAAATAGAATCCGATGCAGTCGTGAAATAACGATGGACGTTAGTGGAGCATGTGAGAATCAAGTGGCACTGACCGGAAACCTATTGATTATTATTATTTTGCACTGTCTCATGCATTGTCACGTGGAGAACTATAAACATGACAAGTCTACAATATATTTTATAATTTCCCTTCGTCCGGAATAATTCACAATTTTTCACTTCTCCGAAAAGATTTTTTTAATTTTAGAAAATTTCTCGCATTTATTCTTTCATTTATTCTCGCATTTATTCTCATTTATTCTCTCATTTATTCTCTCATTCATTCTCTCATTCATTCTCTTTTGAATGACAGAAAAAAATTTAAAATTGATAATTTTTTTTCTCTGAGTGAGAGAACTCAAGTGAGCGACATGAAGCTCAAGCTTTTACTCAACAAATTCTAGGAAAGACTTACAAGTGATCTGCGGCTTATGCGAAATTGTTTAGAAATAAAGGGGAAACAATTTTTCAACAGTTGTGGAATAAGCTGATTACTAAATTGAGGGGAAATTTAATCCGATTTAATGTCGGACTCTGAGAAAAATTTCCTTGAGGACAATTCAGAAATTAATGGATCGAGCGATTTCGGAGTGAATTGTGCAGTTGACGAAATATATCGTTGAAATGAAAAATCTAGGGCAATAATCAAATGCACGCACTGCAGAAAGTACTGGCGTCACGCTGTCTAGAGTAGTCCGACCAAGCGCGGACTAAACTACTTATTCCCTCATCCCTAATTCCCCTCCTCGAAAAACGTCTAATTAATTAAATCATCACCACCAATTAAAATCCTCAGCATCCCAATTTTCCAAAAATTTTCAAAATATTCTCCCATCAAAATATTTTCCATTACCCTAATTACCCTCTCCAAATTATAATGTAATTAATATATATATTCAATTGAAATAGAGATCGATATGATATCGTCAATTGAAATTTATGGATTTTATGGATGAATGATTAATAAAAATATATGAATTCCACCGAGAATTTTTCTCAAGGAAATAATCGATTGTTCTCGTTATGAAAAAATTCTAGACCATCCGCGACTTCGATCCCCCCTTTGGTTGACGTCACTGCAGTAAATGTTCCATAATTCGAAGAGCGCAGGTTTCTTATCGATCTCAAACTAAAAAGCTCCCTTGAAACCAACGTATCACCCAATCCTCTCGCGCACACGTACAACTCAATGGTTAAAGGGCAGGTCGCGCTTGCGCGGAACGTCCAAATAATTTTCCTGATTCTGCCTGAAAAACGTCAGTGGCACGGTTTCCGAGGACTTTTAGTGAGAGATACGAGAATACCACGTAACCTGTCCGGCAAGTGTCAAAAGCCCGTGGAAAATCCTCAAAAAAATCTCCAATCCCTGCCCTCAAGAAGCGGAGTGATACCAGAGATAATTGAAGAATAATTGCCGTCGCGATGTAACGCAAAAGTTCTAAACCCATGGAAAATCCTTCAAAAGCACCAGCAATCAGCGAGACAACGAAAATTCCGGTGCTCCACCTGAAAAACCCGGACTACCCAAATAATCATTAAAAAAAATAAAAATGCCAAAACAAGTGGCAGTGGAGGACCTGGTGATTCCACCTCAGGACGGCCGTATCTGCGGTACAATATGCATCTGCCAGATGACAGCTGTCCTGTCATCAGTTGCCTTAGTCTACTTGGCAGTTGCCGTGTACATGCCAACGACAAGAGCAGTTGCATCAGGAATAGCTCCAGTACCAGTGATGTGTACGACAATTAGAACAGTGAATGCAGACAGCTGTGACTGGGGTAGCTGCGGTGAATGGTGTTTATCGAAGACATCGGGACCCTGCGCCCAGATCCACGTCAATCTCCGTAGGAATGGCTCAACGATAATCCTAGCCAACTGCACCAACACCACCAACAAAACATGCTATGGCATTGACCAGGAGAATGCAAAAAAAGCCAAGTGCATAGCCGACGAGTGCCGTAATTTAACCGGTACCTTCAACTGCACTGCAGGTTTCTGCATGAACGTGACTGATGCCTTTGAGTGCTCATTCAGCGATACAGATCCACCCCTCAAGTGCTCAGGCAAAAGAGGGAAGATCACCTGCATCGCAATCGATGGTTTATTCAACTGCAATCGAGGTACTTGCGAGAGAATAAGAACGCCTTACAACTGCGACAGAAGATGCGTTGATATTCCAACGAGAAACAAGAATGTTATTCTCCTGAGTGGTGACAAGGTTTACCTCAGCCAGTGTGAGAGAGCGATTGATGTTGAGAGCGGCAAGGAGATCTGGCATGAGAATCGTGGTGATGTGATGATGGCATCGTGCTATGGAATATTTAATTCAAGTCTCGGTGTTGAGGCTGTTGACTGCATCAATGGTTCTGTCCTGGAGAAGGATATGCTTACTGATCTTACAAATTTCACGTACCTGTCTTATTTGAATCTTTACGCTACGAAGCCACTCGATGAGACTGGAACAATAGCACCTCCTGAGCACAGCCTCATTCTCGCTAATGAGAGCCGATTGCTTATTAATCTTGAGGGATGTGTCAATACCCTCAGGGATGAGTGCAGAGATTTTCTCCATGAGTATGGAAAAGATGGATCTGATCACAATGCTCGGGCACGCTTTCCCTGCTTCTATGCCAAGGATAAGACAGGTGTTGTGGTCTCGAGGTTTGATCTTGATAACACGTGGAAGGAATTTCTCATTGCTTTTATTCTGCCATTTGTACTGTTCGTTGTCAGCTGTTTGACACTCATCTGCATTCAGAGGACCATTGTCGTTGGGGATGACGCCAGGATGAGGTTCAAGGGACCTGGAGCACTCAATGAAATTCATAAGAGTGCCAGTGGTAATTTGGGGGATGCAGGGGGAGGTGATTCCGTTATGGCACTCTGAGATCCGTCACGTAAGGATTTCGATGATTCATTTATTATTTGGTCGAATGATTTTTGAAGGGGTGGGCTGCCACTATCGGTGATTATCATTTCTTCACAGGTTTTTATATCTTCTTTGAAGTTTTTTCATTCGACAATCTGTTTTTCTTTTTTCTGGATATTTTTGGATTGCCAATGTTTATTGATTTATCGTTTGGCGTAACCACTGATTATTATTATTTAACGGTTGATTTATTTTGTTACAGGCATTCCCCTCCTGGAGGAGAGCCCGGCTCGCCAATCGATATTCTCCCTCCGTGGACACTACTAAGTGTGCGACTTGGTCGGAGGGTGGGGGGAGGGGAACGCGTGATTAATTAAGAGAATTAAAATTAAAAACCTCAAAATTTTAGGTGAAAATTTACGATTAATTATCAAAAATATGATTGACCGGACAATTAATTGAATTGAGTGAGAGAAAATAATGAATTTTCAAACTGGCACTGCCGATAAAATTATAACCGAACGGGATTAATTATCAAATTAAATGAGGAATAAATTTGAATGAGTTAGACACGTGTTCATAGGTCAGTTAATCATGGGGGAGAAAATCGAAGTGGAAGAATGATTTTTAGAATTTCACATTCAATTGCAATAAGATATACCACGAATTACCGATTTTTCACGCTTTCACGGCAAACGGACGTGCTCAGCTGATTCAATAACCGATTGTTTAACGATTTACAAGTAATTCCTGATTTTATTAATCCAGGGTTTTACGATAAACGTAAAGTTATTTACTAGTTAATAATTCATGAAGTTGAGAGGGATTAAACGATAAACCAGGACACGGTGGTATTTTTGGGGTAAAAGTAAATGATTAATTTTTGGGACTTATAGGGGATTGAGGGGGAGAGAGGAAAAGTAATTTTTTAAATATGGGGGAGGACTGCTGATCAAGGGGTTGAGTGGGAAGAGAAATTTTTGGATTATTTTCGTCGCGAGTGGAGGAAAAATAAATCATTTAACCTGGAGTCGGAGGAGGAGTCCCGCTGTGAGTTGGGGGACTTGAGACGAAGGGTGGAGAAGTACGGATACATAAATCGAGGTTCCTTGGGTCGTTTCGACCCAAGTGCTGCCTCGATAATTGATTCCGACGAGTCAACGGTGATAATGGGTGCTCAGCAGGATGACGATACAAAATCGAGTAATGCTGGTGACATTGGTAATGCTGATCCACACATTCCTCTCGTGGAGATCCAGAGTTTTGTCGAGAAAGCGAAATTCTACACTTCGTTGTGTCTCGGTACAACAGCGATACTTGCGGTTTTTGGATTTTTATTTCTCATTCCTTTTGTGGTTGAGCCGGCAATATCAACTATTCTCGCTGATTTTTCACCGCATGCTGTTGCCTGTGTGGTGACAGAACATGTTTATGTCGAGGGTCTAAAAAATTGCTCGTGGGCGAGTTGCCGTGAAGGTAAGAATTATTTTTCAATCGCTAATACCATCCTAGCCTTCATTAATTTTTAATGGTTCAAGGCTGTACGAGTGCTGCTATCAGATGCCATCAGATTAAAGTCAATTACTCAAAACTATCGTACGAGGATTTTAGGGTTAAGGGTTAAGGGTCTGCTATCAGATGCCATCAGATTAAAGTCAATTACTCAAAACTATCGTACGAGGATTTTAATAAAAAAACTGCGGGTACGGTACCTTGGGATGTCGCTGATACCAAATTTTTCATCAATACTGAGGGCTGTGGGTATCCACCAAGAGTCAATTGTTCAGAGTTCGCTAAAAAATTCGGTTACCAGAACATGGGGAAAATATTTCCGTGTTATTACAGCAGAACTTATCCAGAGACGGTAGTTTCCAGGTAATATATTTTATTCTGTTGTTTAAAATTTCAGGTGAATCGGTGGTAATTTTTTTTTGTTGAATCAGGTACTCCTGGGATGAAAATCTGAGGCATTTGGTGCTTGCTCTAGTGACCCCAATCGTTTTATTCATTGTCTCCTTGGGTGTACTTTGCTACTGGTACTGTCCGCCCATGGGGAAGAGTTGCGGTGGCCCAGGGCGTAATTTAATTGATAAATATGCGCGGAAGGAAGAGTAAGTAATGTGTATGTATGCTGCGCTCTGTAGTTGACATTTAGAAATGCTATTCATACATGAATTACTCTGGATTGGATCTCATGTCTTTTTTTTTTTGGTTATTTTTTTGGCGGGGAATTTTTGAGATAATCTGGAGTGATTCTCATCCGCTTAATGCTGAAGAAAAATGGAATATCACACCTCTGAATAGTTTGGAACCACTATTGCAGCATTCTTGCGGAGGACGAATTCGAGGAAGACGAAGAGGAGTACTGATTGTTACCGAGGGCTCACCCCCCAGCGAGGGAGTGACCCCTGATGCCACAACCCCAGAGTCTAGTCTACTTCACGTTTTAAATTTCAATGATAATAATTGGCCTGTCATAGCTAACTAACATCTACAGACACGAATTTCAAAGTTAAATGAATAATTGGCTTTTAGAATTCGCTGTGTAGCTGCCATTACCTAAACTGTCGGCTCATTAAATCTCGAAATAAATACAACGATTTTTTTTTTTATCAATTTTTTACTATGCCAGAGAGTAATGGAATTATTCACGATTGCATTGCCAAATTTTTTCGTGGCGAAGGCACTGGGAAAATCTTTGCTCCACGAATTCTCAGCCAAAATAGAATGGAATAATCTGCAGAATGGCTTTTTAAAATTGTTCAGTTCGTAGGAACAGGATGGCTATTACTGAAAGCGATTTGATGAGGATAAATACTTTTAATAGTCATTTGAAGATGCGAGGTGGACGCGTCGCCATCTTCGAAATCACAGCGAAATGGCGGCGCCCACATCTGTCGGCCGTCTCGTATTTTCTAGAATCAAGCATTTTCCAAAATAATTTATGAATAAATTGTCGACTCACCTCTCTTTGCATACATAATTGATGAAATTTATTACTGCAATCATCATTGTATATTGAACGAAACAAAAAAAAAATCCTAAATAATGGAAAAATTGTTACAATTTTTGTATTCCGGAGAGGAGCGAATTAGTGATTCCAATATTGTATGGATGACGTAGGTAATAATAATAATGTGGGATTATTATTTTTATTTTTGTTGATTGTTATGAATGGGACTGGAAATAGTGGATTCCGCGCTTTTCGCAGCGACCTCTTTCTCCCCATAGAACAATAAATTAGTTATTATTCAAAATAACTGGTTATTTTTATTCGAGAGAATGGCAGATCGTTACGAACAGTCCGGTAGACACGAGTGCCCTATACATCTAGAATGGTTGTGAAAAATTAAATGGCCTTGTACTCTTGGCTCCGTTAAATGAACATTAAGAAAAATCCATAACAGATTAATCATAAGCATCAAACGCTTCTCCTAGGACAAAAATATTTTTTAATACTCCCGAGATTATCTCATATCGAAGAAAGTCAATGTTCACTTATTTTTGTCATCCGAACAATTTATTCGATTTTTCATTGCACGCCTATGAAAAAAAAATGAATTATCCAAGAGGAAAGGATTTTTCCCTCAGACTTTCCTCATTCCCTTGAATTATTTAAAAAATGTAGAGTTATGTTATCAGTTGGGATTTATTTCTAATGAATTTGAAAACGCACAGTAATTTTTTTCAAGATCAATTGCCGAGGGATTTTGGAATAAAAATTATTTTCAAGGATGTGAGAAGGTTGGGATGAGGTGGAAGGGAGAGAGGTGCATGTACTTGAACAAATAATTTGTATAAACTAATGTAAAGCTCGTTAGCCACCGTAAGCTGTAAATAATTTATCCGATATCGTCTCTTGACCATTAATTGTTTGAAATTATCGATTACTGCTCAATTTCTTCGGTAGGAAATCGAGAATAATGGCTCATTTTTGATTAATCAAGACTCGCTTTCATTAATTCGTGTAAGACTACAGTGTAATTAATGCTCGAGTACTGTAAATATTTGATTATGAATTACGATTAAAATTCTACTGTAAATAATTCACAGAATATACGATTTTATTGCATGTGTGAAGGAGACATATATTCAGTGGTCAATTAATACTTTCCTGATTATTTTATCGCTCTCGTAATTGAATTGCAAATAAATTGTTTTCGTTCAATTAAATTGTTTTTTTTTTCGTGAGAATTCCGAGTGGAGGTCAAGAGTTTAATGAACTCGAATAAAAAAACGGAGTGAATTCGGATTGAAACACGAAAGCGCAAGCTCTGAATTCCGGACAGTCGCGCACGCATGTATATAGTATATAGTACATACTATATACTTTTCGTCAGTCTCTATCATACGCAGTACCCAGACGTACCTCCACCGAGAATAATCGGGGTGAGACCACGTCTGACCATACGTTACAGACCCTCTCCTTTTCGTACTTAAAAAAAAAAAGTCATACTTTGACTGCACTTGGGAATAAAGTTGTTACGTGACGTGTCATGTCAAGTACATCTCGAAGATGGACGGAAATGAGATCGCTGTGAATTACCGTAGATATTTAGAGAGTGAAAGTTGACGACTAATTAAATTTACCTCCGGCCTAAATTCGGAAATTCAAGGCTAATTCACATAAAAATTCATTTCAATTTTTTTAGACAAATCAATTATCATAATTATTCAATAAATCCGGAAATTCAATAAATCAATTTTTCTTGTAAAAAACTATCGGAATTGAGAAATCAATGACAGAAAAACCGGAGAAAATAAATATT